TTACTTTTCATTTTCGCTCTCAAAGTTTTCCTCGCTTTCCTCGTTCATGGCTTGGTCATCTTCTGCAAGGACTGCTTCTTCTGGAATGTTCTCTCAATCAATTCCGTAGACCTACAGATGGCATGTACAGTGATCCTTACCAAGCTTTCCATGCAGGCGATCAAATTCCGCGGCAAAGAAACTTTTTCCACCTGCACTTCGCTTCACATCTACATCTTTTCTTGAAAAGGAATTATTATTCAGATGGAATTACGCATAGAGCTTACTTATAATACGCGCTCAGGTCAAGAACATCCGGAAAGCCGTCGTCAGCTGAGTACCGTAGCTTCTCAAAGCCTTGGCGAGCGATTTCATCACTGTGATCCGACTCGAGCCAATCTGCATTCCGTTCCTGAGGACACATCATTTTCTTCAGAGATTTAGATGTAAAGGGATACCTCGACATTGTACAGGATTTGACTGGATAACTCCTCATCAATTCTTTCGAGATCAATGAAGAAACGTCCTAAAGTAAGAGGACTACATAGAGCATTTACATGTAGTGATGATACCAACTACGCCCTAGTGACATGAAGTAAACCAGTAAGGAAAACCTGATGGTAGAAATTTGAAGAAAAAGAGCCAAAAATTGAGTTTTTGCAGAGCTCTAATAAACACCTTACCTCCTTCCTCGAAATTTCGAGCGGGCATTGCCTTAACGGATTCGACAGTTTTCGGCTTCTTTGGTGCTGGCTTTGAATTCTCAGATGGAGGTTGGGTTGTCTTCTTTTTCAAGCGATGAATTTCCACACTTGGCTAGAATGGGTATCTTATAAATCCTAGTGTTTACAAACCGGTAACTGCAAATCGACATTAATAAACTGGATAAAACAACACACTGAAAAATGACCCGATGGTCTTCCACATCTGATGAGCTGACCACCGTTCAGTTCGACCTAGCGTATTTTGACCTTTGCCTTCTAACAACAGATAATTCGATCTATATTGGCCTTCTAAGGTGGTTCAAAGCCAACTGGTATTATGAAGTGAAAGAAATTGGCATAAGGCAGTGCGCTCAACAATATGAACCCAGATTTCTACCTAACACGTTGGGAAAAAGGGATTTTGCTGAACATAAGGATCCATCCAAAACTCTGAGCAGAAAAATAGAGAGACCTTCAAAAGCCAGAAAGATCCGACACAATTTTGTATATATTGCCCGAATTGCCTGAGTGTGCGATCCGCTTGTTCCTACTTTGAGGGTGGGTTATCCTTTTGAGTGACCGAATCAAAACATTACAGAGTCTGGGGAGCGAATAACGAAAATTAACAAGGATTTGGAGTACAAAGTAAGGGCAACAAACTGCCGACTTATTTTCATCTTAGTAATAACATATCAAACGAATTTTTTGCCTTTGAACAAACCCCAACCCATTTTCTCCATAAAACTTACTCTACTTCCTGAAAGGAACAGCCACTGACCTTGATAAAATTCCCTTTCTTGGCTTCCCACTCGTTTTGCATGGCAAGGATGTCATCCTCTGTTTCTGCAGCGCTTGGCCTCTTCACAAAAATGTTTTGGTCACCCATCTATTGCCAAAATATGTTACAAAATTTA